CTAATGGTTAATGCTATGTTAGATTACATCACGCATTATTTGGCAAAGAATGAAGAAACCTGTTTCAAGAAATGTTGAACGATCAGCGAGTCATCTGCAAAATGCTACCACTCACAACAGGATCCGAAGTGAAGTGCCTTTGTAAAATAATGCTTCGCCTCGCATTCACAAATTTCATCCCTTGCTGATGATTTACATTCAATTTTCATAAGATCTCCAGTTCATTTTATTATTGCAAAATCATCTATAACATGACGCTTGCCTCCTCGAAAGTAACATCTCTACCGGACGATAACCGGAATAGAATCGACATCTTGAAGCGAAAGAAATCAAAACCTTATTCGTTGGAGATGTATGCGTATGCTTATCCACACTGTTCATACTACTGGCAGTTAGTGAACATTCTGTGTTGATTTTTACATTTAAACGAATTCGCGACTCCTATTACTATTGCCGTCCGGTCAACTGGCTGTAAAGTATGTGATCCAATTCATGTAATCCTATGCGTATCGTTATCAGTTTTCAACGTAAATAATAATATAACATTATTTCCTTTAGTTCATTTCTATTTTATGGAAAGAAGGAGAACCAATCTCATTATTGGTCGTTAGCCACAACGTTAATCTCAAATTTTTCCTTTGAAATTTAGGTCAGGGGACATACATTATTCCTTCTTCATCTTCAATGACCGCTTTATATTTTGGGTCTCGGACATATATTACTGAAGACAAAAAATTATAATTTTTAAGAGATTGGTTGAGGTGCTTCTGCTCAATATTCCAATAAGCTTTCATGATCAACATCAACCTCCATCGATCCACTGCTGGAAGTAGATCTCTCCAAGACTTTGTCGTAAGCTTCTGTTATCTGATATTTTCATCCACCTCAATCTGAAAAAACTTTACAACACGTCCTACCATCGATCCGGAGGGCTTCCTACAGGCCGTTCACTCATTTTTTGGGAACCCTGTATAACGTCTCTCTGGTCCAACGATGGTCGATTTTCTTGCAACATATCCAGTTCATTGCCACTTCAGCCTATCAACCCCGGTCCACATATATATTTTTTGAATATGAAGTAGGATACAGAAGGACTTCAATCACAACAAAAAAATTATCGTGGCTTAAGCAAACGCGAGTGCTTTATTTCTGTTTCGCGTCAAAAACAAAAACTTCATTACCTGATGCGGAGTCGGCGACGGCACTGCGAAATTTTTATCCGGTTTTTCGCTATTTTGACTTTTTCACCTTTATGGCGTCACTGAGCATCTGGTGAACCATCTCCGAGGCAGAAACCACGTCGATCATTTCCTGAGGCACGGCGATTGCTAAAATTACGGTAACCTAGGCATGCAGTGTCGATGCCAGAGGTGGGCAAAAATCGCAGGTTTACGGCAGTCCTAAGAAAGATATGGTACGAAAAAATCATCGCTTTTTCGCCATTGGTTCGACATCATTTTGAAAAAAACGTATATATGGCGAGTCTGCACGAAACTGTCATGTTGTCAATCAGGACGGCTGACAGAAATGCGCCTGTGTCACTTTGTACTTGGTATTTAATTGAGTAAATGCATTCCCATATTTAGTTACGAATAGTGCAATGCTAGTACAAATAGTCTTTTGGTAAGCCACAAACGGGAAAACAACGCATAAACTGTTCTTTAATTAGGGACATCTGACATTTCGGACGAAGCTCGGTCCGTCTTCAGAGTACAAGATCGTAAAATGGTCCCCCAATGAGACTAGAAGCAAGGGGGCGTGCAATACTGAAGTACAACCCGGCGCCTGTCCGAGAGTACCATGGTATCAAGGCAAAGTGAGGAAAAACTCTCTTTACACTATATATTTTCGCACTTTAAATCCCCATTCGATTTTTCAAATACGTTTTTCATTCGTATCAATATTTCAGAATGGATTGATGAGTGCACTGTTGCTGTCCAATGCGGATAAGATTTGCAATGATCTTACATCTCATGGCGAGAAACTCGTGTTACCGGGCACCACTTGTAAATGCGTCATTTCAAAGCAGTCCTCTGTCACTGACACAATATTAAAGATACCTTATGAACGCACCGCAAAATCAGAAAAGTACTTAACAGACGTGAGCAAGTACTAAATAAAACTCCATGCAATCGCTTAGGAGATTTCTGCCGAATTTGATACAACAGTAGACTGCGGGATTTGCTCACCGCATGTAAATGATACCTGTGGAGAGAGCTACACTCGAATGACTGAGCGAGAACCAAAAAAAGCAGGACGCTTCAGCAAATAGCATTCATCAACATTCCAAATGAAATGAAAAGCAAATATCTCTGTATCAGAGCGAAGAAGATTTGAACAAACAATGCAAAAAGAAACCAACAGAAGAAGAAAGATTCTATAAGCTTCAGGAGAAAAGAAAGCACACCTCAAGAAAAGCGCATAAAACAAAATCTACCAGACATATTCGGCCGCATTATTGCTGCTGAATCACAACCGATTACGATACTCTTGATTCATCGACGTGATAATGCTGATTCACGTGATTTATTTACAAAACTAAACATTGCTCTTGTACAAGATTTTCTATCATAAACAAAGTCGCAAAAGCGGTGCCTATGAAAGCTCATAATCCAAATACGGGTACAGTGCAGCAAGTGCTGCTTATTCTAGAGGTTATTAACTATAACATGACACAAGATCGTTACTGATTTGGACCAGGCTGGAAGGGCGTTTATGTGCATCATCAATTGGAGCTAAACTATTTACAATATGAATGAAAAAAATATTTCTCCTTTGATCAATGATTCAAGGCACCATAAGTTACCTAATACTGAATATAAGACGAACCTAGGTTGATAAAGGTCAGCAATATCTTACATCCTACAAAGTTAAATGTTCTATATTACACTGTGGTCCCTTTGGAAGGAGGTTTTCATAATGATGAATGGCATATTGGATTTAGTGATTTGGCTTGCGCTTTAAAGGTAGTATTTAAATTTCAGTGCTATAAGAAAAAGTTTCTAATTGTCATCAGCAAGTGAATTCGTTACATTCTGCATCGAAACAACCGGCAAAAAACGGAAGGCGAGGCGCTGACTTGCGAACAACATGGAAAGCATGACGCTCTGGTTTAGTAGACCGAACCAAGCAAGGCATACGCATGTTTTATGGCTGTGATTCGTCTTCACCTACCGAACAGTTAACTAAAAATCAACACTAGGCGCAACCCATAAAAAGAAATAGAAAATAATCGAGTTCTAGAACGGAATATAAAAGCGACAATCGAGAAACCATACCCTTTTCAGACAAATTTTTGGAGTATCTGTAAATCACGTTCCTGTTCTAGTTCACACCGTATACAATTATTTTGCCCGTCCCTGACATCGATGCTTGCAACAGGCTAGTTTCATGACAACTGAAGCGCAACTTACGCTTATAAGGAAACAAATTGCTAGTTTCGGTATAAATTCTGCCAAGTGACCGAGGAACATGACGGTTGTGTTGAGCGTGTGAATCGTTTCGAAAAGGCCAACTTCAATTACGCGAAGTCGATGGCTCTGCTCATTCATATCCGACTAAAAGTATTTTAGAGACGACAGTCACGTAAAGTAAAGATAAACGGTGTGCAGATACAAATCTTGAACTCTTACAATGACTTTGCGGTGTGCGGCCATCGATATCTGTTCGCCATCCATCGCTTTTGCAACTACCTTGGATACTTCTTTTTCGACTGTGGCAATCGGGATCTTTTTCGGTAAATTCCGGCGACGCCTAAACAACAATAATACGTTACTGAGTTCTTCACAACACTGCTACAGTTTCTTCAAGTACTTGTAATTTCCGGCTTTCACATTCTCGATCGCTTCAGTTACGTAGTTCAAACGCGTCGTCGTCTCCTTGTTTCTTGCTACATTCAGGATTTTCAAAGAAACAGCGGACTGCGCACTGTCAACTTCTTCCATGAGCCGATGGTTCGTATTCGAATCGTAGTTCAGGAAGTGCCTCAACATCCGTGCTAACTGGTCCTCAGTTTGGCAATACACCATAACGGTCCCATCGACTTCTTCTCCAAATCCGGCAGCAATCTGACTCAAGAAACGACGTATCTTTTTAAGTACTGACGATAGGTCCTCGCAAACGCACTGGTGCTAAAAAACGATAAAACGTTAAGCGCAATATTGGAAATTAAACTTTCATAACGCATAATACATCAATTGTAGATAAATGATTAAAACTCATATTCTTATAAATTTCTGAATAGACCAATTCACATTTCAAAACCCAACATCCAATTAATGCCCCAGCCCAAAATGTGGTAACTTGCCTAATCAGGCTCATGTCTTGTATAAAATGAACTTTGCACATTTATTCAAGTGATTTTACTCTGAGAATACCACCTTTGTTTCCCGTCCATCGAGAACACTTTAAATCATTTAATGTGCATGATGCTGTTATACTGACTACTTAATCTATCAACACACTCTCGGTCATTCTCGACAATTTTTCATCAGATTCATATCCATCGTCTACGGATCTTCTTCTTTAGCAGCTGTTACAGTGAACTTTTCCCACGTTTTAGCCAGGGTTACTAGCCTTTCATCTATTGAATTTCGTTCTTCAATGCCTCATCTACCAAAAATCTTTTTTAACTCATGCCGTCATCTCATTTTCGCGTAAACGTGTCCCAAAATGATTGTGTGAAATTATGAATCAGCTATTTGTCGAATTCGTCCACACGGTCTTTTCCGCCTGTACTTCTGTGAACATACATCCCTACAATTTTGAAAGTGCGACTCTTATTCAGTTATGGATACAGCATTCCCATGCGTAATGACTTCGGCTGATTTGATACGACACTTGCAGGCCATCCATTGCTGATCATGAAGTCTACTCAACTGTTTTTGCGCCGTTTACTTTTCCCAGCTTGATGGTGCTTCTGTCACTTCATTTACCCTCTAACTCCTTGGCTCTTTGCCTTTCACAGAAACTGAGTACATCATAGGTTTTCTTGAACGTTTCTGACAGGAGATGGTTAATCGATTCTTCCCTAGTATGGCAATTGTGGGTGCACACTGAAAGTGAAGTCCTTGTTTATTTTCCTTTCATCCACTTGGTACCTATGACTCTTTGCCGTCTCGTCAGTCGAATCCCGCACTGCCACCGTAGAGCGTGGACGGGGAACGTGTAGGCTCATAATCATCAGCCTTTTTAGCTCCAGTGCTGGAGGAAAGCTTCTCCAAGACTTGGCTTTTAATTCCGTTTTCTGCCACTTGTATTCATTTTGATTTAGCAAACTTCTTCTGACTATCCTGCCATCGATCTGAAGATCTTCTTACTGGCCGCTTAATCTCGTCTTAAACACAGTCTAATATTCCTGCAATAGTCAGTTTTTACTGAAACGTGCCTCGTCTATTTATATTTTAACTTCTTAACTCGGGCAATGACATCGCAGACTCTTGTTTGTGGTTCTTTTCCCAAAAAGACATCTTTCCATGCTACGTTGCGTAATCTGCAGTTTATAAACAGCTTTTAAGCTTTTTTTAAGCTTAGGGTTAACGTTTCTCACCCATAGATTAGCAGTGTGAGCACACAAGCAATACCTTCAGTGTCGAACTCAAAGGCAGTTTTCCAAAAATGCTCCATAACATTCTTATTCTATGATGTTAAGAAGCTGACTTTCCATAACTGGATTTAACTGGAGAAGAGCTGACCCAGTGAGCAGTACTGCTCTTCTTCAAGACTGAGTCCGTTCAGGTCTTCAACATGCTGCGCGGTCACGTATTTGTCAAACATGACCAGTCTTCTTCAGGATTATTTTCAATCCTACTTTGATGGTAGAGCCTTTCGGCTGCTGAACTTTTCATGTGAGTTTCTTTGACGACGTTTAGAGGACAGAATTTCGTTCACAAACCCTGTGTGGCTTAAGTAGTAATCATTTGTATCCCCCCCCCCAATTTTCTGACGTATAGGGTAACGAGCCTGTCATGACAATAAGCCACGCGCTGACTGAGCTTGCAGCTGACAATAATCGAATTATAGCTATTATAGCTATATTATTTTATTAATTAGGCTATTTACAAAGCACTTACCGTGACGACAACTCCATGTACTTTATCTGATGCTGGATACAAAGCTCCGTATGTGCTGTCGAATTCTTTGATTGTTTCGATAATCTTAATATTTTGCACCTGAAAACTGCAAACTCGATTAACCATCCCGATGTTATGAAAACGTTACCGCCTGACTCGGGATTTTCTGTTCATTGCAATCCTTCTCAACATTCGAAGAAAATGGAATAGGATCATACCTAAACAAAAAGTGCTTTTGCAATAAGAAAAAACAGGATGCGACTCACAATTTATTTAATTCTATATTCACCCTGGCTACGTCGCATAGGTAGAGAATAAATCTTGCCGACTTCGTGTCCTTCAGGCATTCGTCGATAGCTGCTTTCAACTCCAGGCTGCAGCCTGGATAACCAAGACTCATTAATATGTGTAAAAGATCTCCAGATTTCACCATTTCTATAAAAGATATATCCAGAATACAAGGCAAGCAATTTATTTAAGGCGACATACAATCATATAAAGTGATCCTCATCAATCCTCCGGATTTAAGTGGTTGTAAATTACTAACATATATTCCATCTTTTCTAACTTTTGTTGATTCTTGTATATTTCGGGAATGTATAAAGAAGCACAGTGGAGTCTGCAAAACTTTCTTTACTAGCAAAAGTCCGGGACGATGAGAAAAGCCTCTCATAAGGATGACGTCCCGTAATGTGAAAAACGGGGATTTGAAGTGAAATGAACTGATAATGAACCTAATGAAAAATAACAAATCTTGAAAGGTTTAAAAGCTTCTAAATATTTTTTGTTCCTTAAATTTCTTAACACATATATTCTGACTTCCACGTCATGATCCCATAATTTATAGACATCATAATTTCGTATACGGTTCGACTATGTTAAACACATGCACATTGCTAAGTTGCGAACGTCTCCCCAAAGCAATCAAAAATTTTGGCCCGAAAAACAATGATTTAAATTAATAACGAAATGCCGTTACATCATTTATTAACAAAGCTTGCAAAGTTCAGGAGAATGAAGGAATACTTAAAGCATACTTCGTACTGTTGACAATTACCACAAGTATGCTACAGCAACAAGACGAATAATAACCAGTAAAATATTAAAAGTAAATATTACATTAAACTCAATCAGCGGGTAGCATTAATAGACGAGGTACAACTACTACATGTAACATACCTGCCGCTGGCCGACAGTCATTTGGGCACGCAGTCGCCTACGGCTCTATTACGGTACTTGAAATTTACCTACTTATTACAAAAGCAACTGTGTTGAAAAGCTATCTTTCATATTTTAGTTTTTTTATTTCTGTTCCAGACGTAACATTTGAAGAATAAAACTACAAGTTAATAGTAAAAGAAGCAGCAATAAACAGTTCAGCACAAAATAATATTAGCTTACAAAAAATGATATACAAATCAAATAACACGACATTTTTAAAAAATCCTATGACGCTTGTGCTTGTATCGAAACGCAGTGGTAAATAAAAGATTTAATATCTCTTTTACGTAACTGTTGAATTGAAAAATGAATTGGGAGGAACAGGCCATTAACTATTATTCAAACAGGTAACGATTCGATATCCCATTCTGTACTTAACTGTACCATTAAAATTGCCCTCGTTTGTTCGTGCTCTGGTAGTAATAATGCAATGGCAGCCAACGTTATTTACAGAGCAATGTACCTGTAACAACAGTATTTTAGGCGCGAACCCTGTCTTGACTCTCTGCTCAACTGCTCGCATGTCGGTTTGATCATTAGATTCTTACGGATCCTGATGCAATTTAAACCACTTATAAATCATCCCAAACGTTTAAGAGCGCATGCAGGAGACTTATTAGACTGCGGATCACAGAAAAAAACAGTTTATCGCAATTTATTCACCCAAAAAAATTATCATTATGGAGTCCATTTCAAAACAAGGCATTAACAGATTACATGACCAACCCACTAAATCAGTATTTCCTACTAGACAGGGCTATGCAATTAGAAAACTAAATCATATATCGAAAGAAACCAGAAAACTCACTGAAAAAACTTTCAATTCTCCATAGGTTGCTAATAACAGTAAAGCATTGACAGATTTAGCTACTCAACTTTCTAAGCAAGGTAATTATGAAAAACGGTTCACTTTTCTTGTTACTGTGAAGGTCTTCTTCTACTGGATACTGCGTCCAACACACAATTCAACTGTCCCTATGTTCGGTAACAGCAAAATGTCGAATTTAATAACTCATTTGTTGTTGTCGTGGATGTTGTAGCTGCTTTTACTGTTGTTTTACCCGTTTCTTGAGATTGCTCTCAAGCTGAAGACTGCTTCGAAGTCGCCTCTTCAATGAAACCCTCACTTCTTGCCAGCCAGCCAGCTCAGTCTGTGTCAAAAGGCTACAGTCTAACCCGTTAAATGACGGCAGCATTCGACGGGAAAATGAGGATAAGTCTCTTTCTAAGAGCTTCCTTTCGTTGTCCATATCGATGATCTTATCGCAGGTTTTGCCTTCGTCAGCAGTAGATAGCGTTTCCAATGCACTTCGAAGAAAGCATTTGCATATCATGACGATAATATGCAATGATAAGGCCTGATCAGAAGCCTGGAATAAAACGTTATGCTGAAGAAGGAATGTTGTTCTTCTTTCCGAAAACTTCAACTGTTATATTGTTCCATTGCAGGCTTCTAATCGTGTTTTATCTTAATTTTTACATGATAAGCTAATCATTTTTGCCACCAGGTCTTCGCACTGGACTTCGTTAAGGTTGGTTGAGATGTCAGCGCCTCCCTTGACGCGAACATCTATCGGCAACTTCCGTGCAAAAGATTCTTTATGCCAGGTTTGGTGCTACACGTTTCGACGCTCCAAGAAGGTCTTCATAACAGACAGTCATTAATTTGCACATAACCGCAAAATCTTCATACCGTTGTTGATGACATCGGTGGGCCAATCTTTGAAATCACGCTTTTGTATTTTGCCGCATTTGCTGCAAAATGCGCTTCGTAGTGACTGATTTTGCAGTCGTCACTTCGTTCAGTGCATCTTCTGGTTTCTGCAAGAATGACGTAACGTTTAACCTGCAAATTAATCGCGTGAAGTTGTAGTAAGTTCAGAGTTCAACGGTGTAAATTCAGTCGGACTATTGCCGTTCTTACTTTGACAGATTTCCATTTGATGGCTATGTCAGCTAGTTTGAATTCTACCAGAACACCATCGCCGCCTGACGTCGTGTTGAGGAGTCGACGTCAGAGAAGAAATGTTTCTACCCGCCGAATTCAAATAAGATAGATCCCTAGTTTTTCTCTGATGACAATTCAACTATGTCCAGTGGTACCTTTCGGCATCGTCATTAACTTCTTTTTCTCTCAGTAAGCGGATATTTCAATTTTCGACCGTGGGCATTCACTCTCGGTGTCATTCCCGTTGAACCTTGGCTGAATTGCTATAGTTACTTTGTGTTGTCTACCTCCTCCGTTCAGAATAGACAGAGGCTTTGGTGGTGACTGATGTCTTTGCCTTCTTCTTGTGCATTATGTACAACTGTAGCCGTATTGCTACCATTCTCGCTGCCAAAAAACGTTTAGGGGGTTCTGATCGCCGATTTTTTGCCTTCTGCGTCATTTCCGCAACAGCATGCGTGACCTTTGGTATTTCGGCCTACAGCGGAGCCAAAATGACGTTCGGTGACGCAATATCACGAAAGCCTGGTAGCTAGGTTTTGTGGGACACTTCGCCATGGTCTTCAGCAATTTTATCGTTTATCATCTTGCTTGGGACCGGCAACGGCGGAGTTCTCGCTAACGGCTGTTGAAGGGAATCCCTATGCACAGTTTTGCTGTAGAACAGATAACATTATGCAAGTCTTTGGTTACTGTTTATCATCAAGCGTTTAATCAACAGTGACAAAGAATTTCATTTCTTGGAAAACCACCCATAGAGCTCCAAGTAGCCTCGGCGAAGTCTTCTCCTCTTGTAACCTGTCGCTCACGTTTCTTTTTCTGCCACTTTGTTGCACTGGCATTGTTTTATTGTGGAATTCTGGTGGTATATTTGTAAAAGATTAAGACTTACTGACCATTTAAATCGACTAAACTCAGTAAATCTAGGTCCTATGTCGGTCAAGTGCATCGAACCGTCCACTTTATCATGTATTAGGAAAAATGCAGAATTTCTTGGAAATAGATCGGTAGTTAAGATAGGATATTGTGCACGCAACAATATGGTTCGTCAAACTATTTGCGAAATCATTTTTTTTCATTCGCTGGACTAATTGTAGCGACTCCTGCGCGAAGAATCCCAGCAACGGTTTGAATCTCCCCCACTATGAAGAGGAAATTTGCTGTCGTCTTCTTTACGAGTTATCAGCGTCAGATGATAGGACTTACGTATGTGAGGGCGTGTTTCGAAGGCAATCAATGTCAGCACAGCTACTTTTGTTGCTTAAACTAATAAACTTGATTTTTATTGACATCTTTAATGACAAAATCAATAACAAAAATGGGATATTTTTTTAATAGAAAATACATTATAGTGCACTTTATTATACGACGATTTGAAGATCTCAAATTCTACTTTAGCACATATTTCAATAATATGGGTAAGTTTTCTATGTACATAAAATAAATTCATAAAAGTAATACAATTCTTTGCTCCATGCCCATCAGCTATAGTGACAAAAACGAAAATGATTGCTCGTGCAGACGCTAGCAAATATTAATTACCATATAAAAATTTGTGATGAAGCATACCCTTTGAGCCCTTTGAGTATTTTATTGTACGATGAAAACATAAATTGCTTTAAATGTCAGTATCCGTCCATTTTTTCATATTTATGTTTTCATGTGCTGATATTAGTGAGCTATCATGTGAGTTGACGCAAACTATAGGCGGAAGGCACGCATTAGACAACAGTATAGTGCGTCTCTTCCATCATGCCATTGCTACAGCAGAATTCCAATTCTGTGTTATTCGCAGGAAAAAGACCTGCTGCTTGCTGGCTGCAGCGAAGAACAGCGGATGAACTTTTTTGAAAGAAATTAACAGTTAAATAAGAAATTTACGTTGCGCCTTGGGTTTCAACTACGTACCTCGGAAGTGTTACACATTACTAATACATTGCTCCAGTGTTGCTCCCTCCCTGTGTGAATCACTGACATTTTCATACTAGAAATCAGCAGCCAAGAAATTTTCGTCCTGGTATATAACCAGTACATAACAATGCATGAAACTTATAAGCGTTGAATTTCAGATTAGTCACTCATCTTTAATAGTTCTATAACTGGCATGAGCCAATTACTTTTTATGGATGGCAATTTCTGTATTATTGACTTATACATAGAAAAGTGTATGGTGGACACATTTCTTTGTTTCGCCCTTGACAGTATTAATAATGGCTGTAACGCGAAACGGGAGCAAGTATTATGGTCCTTTGTTTTGTCATTCATCTAATTTGAAATCTATCGATTTTTGTCGACGATTGCCGTTTTCCCGCCTTTGGCTTTTTCGCGGGAAGCGAAATGTCTCATGGTTTAAACAAACCAATCATTGGAGTCCATTCTGACCAATGAAATAGAGGCATTGTTTAAATGAGCCAATAATACGTGAAGTTATTTTTAGCCGAACGATAATGCCTCGTTGCAGTCGCCATTTTGTCAGTATACGCTTGTATCGTCGCGAAGAGAGGTAATGGCTCGCACTAAACAAACCGCTCGCAAATCTACTGGTGGAAAGGCTCCAAGAAAGCAGTTGGCAACGAAAGCCGCAAGGAAATCTGCGCCGGCAACCGGTGGCGTCAAGAAGCCCCATCGTTACCGTCCGGGTACTGTGGCGTTGAGGGAAATCCGTCGCTACCAGAAGAGTACCGAGTTGCTCATCCGTAAGCTGCCGTTCCAGCGACTCGTAAGAGAGATCGCGCAGGACTTCAAGACCGATCTGAGGTTCCAGAGTTCTGCTGTGATGGCTCTTCAGGAAGCCAGTGAAGCATACCTCGTCGGCCTGTTCGAAGATACGAACTTGTGCGCCATCCATGCCAAGCGTGTCACCATCATGCCGAAAGACATTCAGTTGGCTAGGCGAATCCGAGGAGAGCGAGCTTAAATGATCAAAGCGTTTCTTTAAAACCCAACGGCCCTTTTTAGGGCCACTCTGAGAAAGAGCTCGTTTCTTTGCTAAATTGTACAAGCGAATGTATAAATCGATTATTGTGAGTCATCATGGCCAATTGTTCATTGATTTTATTGATTGATTATTAGGTCGGGCGCCAAGGACGGGTGTGTATTCGTTTAAAATATGCTTGCTGATAGTCATGTACAGTTCGTATTTTGGCTACGGTATCGGTGTTGCTTGATCAAAATTAATAATGCAGGATTTGTTTGCTAATCGTAATCGTATGTTTGCTAATCGCCTTTCAAATTGTAGGTTTATTTTTAAACTTATTTGTTGCCTTGCAGATGATTCTATCTTCTATCTTGCATACCATTTTATGGTAAGGTTCTTAAGCATGATATGTTGCGCACCGGCAGAGCTCCTCTGCTCTACTGTGGCAATGCAAGCAGCATCGTCGCTAAAAAGTCAATTAGCGAAAATTTTGGAAGCAGCCGCATTGAAAAGTAGATTGACTAGCAGGATCAAATTTACAGTGTCAGTCCAGTATAGCTTCTGTTATGTAACTAACCTGTTAATAGAGATGTTTGCCGTTTAGCTCATGTGCAACTCAGCCATACTACACTTGTTCAGGGTTCATCGATGAGTATACTGAATCCGAAACGAATTATTTTCACGGTTAAAGAATAAATTTTAAGACAAATCTCTGTAATTTATTTGAAGCAGTAGGAGTACTGAGAATATATTTTTAAAGCAGGACGCTTTATTCATTTTGTGTAATTTACAGCTTTTGCTCATGCACCGTCCGTCATAGCTCATTTATCACGATAAACCCGGAAGGCGCATACATTCGCCCTCTTATGTTGTATGTGCTTTGTTATGATCACAAGAAAATGCTGCGCTGTTGCCGTTATTCGTGGCTCTTCCTGTGCCTCAATACAGAGAAGCATTGCTGAAATAAGTAAACAGAATAAGAAAATTTACTCCTCGTATGGAATTATCAATTATTTTAAGTACAAGCGAAGCTGCCTTTTAGCCAATTATGCAGAAGCTATTGCTCTTGCAACTACAGCCCTCAAGTTTCTGCGAAAACAGTAGAACTGAATAACACGTAAGGTATTGTACCGGTTTTAAGTGCCGTCATGAAAGAATAGTGCGCGCTGAATGTAATCGGTCAATCGCCCTTGGCGTACACACTGAAGCACGAACAACCAGCTATGTGTTTCTGACTTGCACATTGTAAACCTTTTGAAATTAAGCTCCAAAATGTAATCTTTTGTGTAATGGATGTTTGACCGCCAAGGTATGTCGAATAACTAATGACTTCTACGTCCGTATTTTTGACGTATTCCACTCTTCCTTTGTCTTAGAAGAATCGTAATGTGATCATTATAAGACTTACACGTAATCATTCTGCTGAAACTAATACTGGAAAAAATTTTTCTTTGAAAGTAATAGCAATCATTTGCAAATAAAGGATGGAAGAGGATCTTTAATGCATTTGTTTCTAGGTGTTCTTTTGATAATCGAATTAATCCCAATTGGCTGCGATGTGTACTTGAATCCAAACTAAACTATTCAAATAATTCAAGGAAAAAAGATCCGTTTAAATAATATTTGTTGGCTTCAAACCGAAACCACTGCCTAGGTTGCCTTGAAAAATTTCTTTGCGAACACCTAACACTTGCCAAAGCATCTGCTATCACGTTCTATTTTGATATTATGCAGCAAGAATGTGTATATAATGAAAATTGCATTGGTTTTATAACCTAATGAACCTCATCTGACTTAACGTTTTGACTTAGTATATTCATGTGGATTGGCAATTTAGCGATGTAGCTATCATAAATAATGGGGTCAAAATAGGAAAAAGCTTTGTGATGGGTCGGAAGCAAATTATTGAATCATTAAGCAGTGTTTAAACTACGTAGTTCGACGACGTTCATATTTGTTTGTTGTTGGTATACTTCGAGATGAATGCCATGATGACTTCATTTGCGCGACCCTAGCGGAGTGTGGTACTTACTCTTGTCCTTTTAGGATGTTGCCTCAATGGAATGACCGTTGGTGCCTATGTATAAACCTCGTTAATGTTAAGAGTGAATTCGGTGAGCAACATTTATCTGATTTCAATGTTTTTCCAGTTAATGTCGTGTAAGCGCTAGATGTTCTTGGTTGGTACTTGTTGATGCACATTTTGCTAGTCGAATAGAGTTATTGATAGTACAATCGTCCACCTTGAAGCAAACTCAAGTAAAAATATAGCTAATAAGCAAAACAAAAAAATATACAAGAACAATATATAGATTAAATTTATTAGAACACCGATCCTGATACTCTAGTTCAAGTTTACCTCTCTAGACATGAGCAAAACTAGCAACTCAGCGAAACATGATTTTACAATATTTTTTTGAACGTCAATCTGAACAGATAGTAAGTCGCGAACGGACATCAGCCAGACAGATCAGACAGACAAATTATTGTCTAGCCGGAAATAAGATAAACATGTAGAAGGTCGAAAACTGCGCTGGTGTTACCGTCACACAAGACAAAAGCCGATGCCAAGTTTGTTCGATACCATCGAAATATCAGGGTACCTCAAGCAACTACTCTGTGAATTGCACGTTACATAGAAAATAAAACTAGGACCACGTGAGTAGTCAGCAAACAGACGCGGAAAGATGTGTGGCATTAAAGAAGCACTTTCAAAACGAAAAGAAGCTTACTGAAGAATGAACCTACCCTACCAGATTCAAGAAATGTGGCTTTGTAAC